ATTTAAAAATTCATAAAATTAATATATTTAAATAAAAAATAAAAAATAAATATTTTTATTTATACTTTCCTCTATGAATAGAGGCTAGTTGGACGATTGTGAGTAAACCAACGAAAAGATGGGCATTAAATGAACTGATTTATGGATAGTTGGACTGACATATTTATTGATCAAAAGATATGGACAAATTTACGGATAGACGTATACGAATTTGATTTTATGGGCCACCGTGGATGGTCTAAATATTTATGAGTTATTGTGTATAAGTACATAGATTTATAAAGAAATTTATTAATAAATTAGAGTTTATGAACGAATGAATAAATAAATAAATAAAATTATAAATATTTATTATGTAAAATTTACCATGTGAAATAGATAGTAATTAAATCGTTTCAAAGATAAAAAAATTATCTCAAATACCCAAAAAATGGATTATGAGAAGACAGTATGTGAAAATTTCATAAGTGGTTTTTTTTATTCATACGTGTTGGAATGAAAAAATCAATCAAAATTGCAAGTAAGGATTTCAAAAATCAAGACTTAATTTGTCTAATTCCAGGGTGATAAATGGAGAGAGCGCTGCCAACAAGCTAGTGTTTTCCAAATTTGCCTCAGTATATATTAGAGCTTACACCACAATTTGAAAGTTCTTCAGGATTCCACGTGTCCACATGTTTTAAGGTAGAGATCCAACGACCACGATTTTCTCCATTGAATTGGAGTTGAAAGGTAATCAAGGCTATAATCTGGTGTGCTTGAGCTCATGGTAATTAGAGAAGACAAATTCGGGTGCCTTTTTTTTCCACCACGTGGCAGAAGTGGAGTCCAAATGGATTTTGGGCCCGGGTAAGGTTGAGTTCTGAGTTCAAATGGATATTGGACTTTAATTATTAAAGAGCTGGGTTTGGTCTGGGCTTCTAAAAGTTGCTAAAGGATCGGGCTTATATGGTTATTTTCCATCAAGATTAAGTTTGACTGTCTGAGTAATTCGAAGGAACCTCCTGCAGCATGGAAAACAAAAAAGATTTTATAATTCCATCAAATTGGGAGGACCAGATTTGAAGCATGACAGTTCGAATCAATTGGAAAAAATCAGGGACAGTTCAAGTTGGTTCAATTGGCATGATTTCGGGCATTTTGACAATCAATTCAGTTCATGGAGGCATATAAATACAAGAAGTAATGGATGTTTTCAGCAGCCTGCTCCTTATAGCTACTAGCCCTGCACTGTCTTCATACTACAAAATAACTTAGTTTCAAGGAGGATTGCCCCTTTCATCAACTTGTTATGCGCTGTCTTTATACTAAAAAATGACTTGACTTCAAAGAGGCTTCCCCATCTCAATAAAATCACATCTCTACAATGACTTGACTCAACAATACACAACAACTGTATTTGACGATATCGTCGCTCAATTAGATGGCAAAAACCTACTTTGAGCCCTTCACCTTACCAAATTTGAAGGTTTTAACACTTTACCTTATATTATGATACTTTTAGTTTATATTATGACACTTTTAGTCCCTCATCTTACTAAATTTGTAAATTTTAGCTTTTCACCTATTAAAATCGAAAAACATAGCTCTTATTTTATACTAATTGTTAATTATGTTAACTAAAAGTAGATTTTTATCAACTAATAGTTAGTTAACAAAATTAACGAAATATTACAAAATTAATTCTGTTAACTCTATTAGCTGAAAAAAGTTTTTATCAACTAATAATCAACTAATAAAATTAATAATCAGATAATAAAACCAACAAAATTTACAAAGTGATGACTATTTTCTTTAATTTTAATAAATAAAAGATTAAAAGTATTATAGTATAAGGTAATGAGTTAAAATTATCATAATATAAGTTGAGAAACTAAAACCTTAAAACAGACTTTTGCCTAATTAAGTCCACCCTTTAGTAACTCCGTCAATTCCTTATTTATCTATAGAAAAATTAAGAAAAAATTAAGAAAAATATTCTTATCTATAGAAAACTAGAAATTAAGAAAAAAAAGATAAGAGATGAGATGACTGGCTGGCCAGTCAAAATATTTGCCCCAAAAATTTTTTGACCATCGACACCATTAAGAGAGCCAGACTTGGTCACCATTTTATCGCCATTGTGACTTGAATTGGTGTTCTGTGTCATTTTTACAGAGAACGAGGAATGTGAGCATGCGTTGGACATGCTCCAAGGCAAAGTGACGACTTCGACGCTGCCAATATTTTCTATAGCATGTGGTTCATTGGCGTAATTATCCCCATTTATAATTTTGTTACTATCATCTAATTTAATATAATTTAATTATTAAAAA